ATCTGTGAGTTAGCCATGCCCTGACTTAGATCAGCCCAGAGGTTGTTTCAGGGTTCATTCTGTGAGTTAGCCGTGCCCTGACTTAGATCAGCCCAGAGGTTGTTTCAGGGTTCAATAAAATTGTCATTTGGTTGCCATGGAAGCAAGACAGATTTACCTGACGGCAGCAGCCAGTGACTAGCTGCTGATATTTCTTCTTCCAGCTCTTCACTCGCTGGTCCATCTTCATGGAGTTGGAAAACATGGATGGCAAGTTTACAGTTCTGAAGATCAATTGCCTGGTGAAAGAGTTTCAGAGTGTCATAAAACTGAAACTACTTTATGACTGTTTGTACTGACTGTTTGATCACCGAATTGAACTGTAAAATGGAATATTGCATGTCTATGTCTTAACATCAATCCCTATTCACCTTTTTGTCCCTGACAACTAGTTCAGTATCGCTGACAGTAATTGTCTTCACATGTTCTGTGAGGAAGTCATCTTGAAACTGAGTAAAAGTTGCATCTCCATAACATATTCCAACGCACRCCAAGAACTGGTGGACATATTCACGGATAGTGTTGGGTAAAGCAGTGCTGAAAACAGTGAGGCAAAATGTAGATGACATTAAAAGTAAAAACTTTTATCTCTATTCACAGTTTGCTGGCACAAGTTACAATTTTAACCCAAGATTAACACCACATCTCAAAGAGTACTTCTCTCACGGTTTAAATTACAAAAATAATTTATCAACTTTTCGATTAGAGGATACCCTGCTTGACAGAGATTTCTTATTTCCCCCTCTCTTAAGAAATCTCTGCCAAGCTGGCCGGAGTAATTAGAGGATGGATTGAAAGCTGATTCTATAGCTTCCTGTCGTCTTCTTTTAACTACTAAACAGAAATATTTATAATCAGAAAAACTAACGCAGATAGATTTTGACGTTTCGATAATTGTACCATGAGTAAATTAAGTAGCTCTACTTAAGATCAGAATGTTTCGATTAACGATCAAAATTGTACTAAGATTGTACAATTTTAAGAGCTCACCTAGAAGAATTTTGACAAACTTCAATGTGATAACTTAACACATCGGGCACCGGAAGAGCTTCAGAAAGCTTCCCAACTTCTTCCATATTTTCCATACGACACAGCAAATGTGTTTCCTAAGTATGAATCATCTTTAAAACTGTAAAAAATGAGGGATTGTAAACTTTTCAACAAGAAATTTGAATTTTTTGTTTTAAAAATTTGCGCCAGAAAAGCTTACGTGCCTGCGATAAATGAGAGCGGCTTCTATTTTCAATAATATGCGCAATGGTTTCTGAGCATATTCTACAGGGAGCCCAACATTGGTGAATAATATAAAGAACGATAAATTAGCTTCTGTAAATCTTTTAACGGCATTTATAAAATCTATAGATCTCTTTAGGCTCGTATCATTCATTATCTTAAACTAAAACTTATGTGAACTATATTATTGTTTTTCTTCGATTATCTAATTTTGGCTAAAGCAAGGGCTTCCTGTGAGATTTTCTTACTCAGAGGGCTTGGGAACTACATATTTTTCCGCCATATTTTTGAATGTTTGTTTTGGAAATTTTCGAGGGTAAAAAAAATTCTTTTCTCCTTAAATTAGAATGACTTTGCCGCCAGAAAAAGTCCACGAGCTCAAGCAGATTATCCACGATCATATGTCACACGCTAGTATTCATTCAAGGATTCAAAGTTGTGTAGAAGAGTCGTTTACTGGAGAGAATAGAGACATTGATGAAGCTGGTCTTCTTCAAGCTTTGAAGGACAAGGGTGTCGTAGACGAAGTTATGAAGTCTTTGAGGTTTGAAGGCCTTGGTAGAGAGCAGAGGAAAGCTCGTTCTCCGAAGGAAAAGAGAAGAGAAGTCTTTGAGGAGAAAGAATCACCGAAAAGTAAGCTTAATAATAAAATTCCTTGGACGAATTAAACTTGAAAATGTACATTTTTGTCGAAAAATATAATTTCTATTTCTTGAAAAAAGTGTAAGGTGTAAAACTAAAGAATACCTTTTTTTTAGATTTTTTAACGCATTTCCTGTACCATATTCACTTCAGATAAGTTTTTTAAGTCTTGGGGTTCAAGGGGTGGTCTTGCTGACATAAGTTATGTGCCTTATTTTAAGTTTTGGTTAACATTTTTTTTTTCCTGATTCAAGATTTGCACCATGCCATTATTTTAAGCCCTGAAACCCAAGAGGTATTTACTAGAATATCGAAGACTTCAGGCTCATTTCGGTCATGCAAACGCTGTCTCATGTTTGACATTTACTGTTCTCTCCAACCTTTTTTGAAATAAACTTGTGTATACATCTGTTGCAGTTGGTATAGACCCTACCAAGAGGTACCTATATCTACAGGTGCTGGGAGGTAAGGCATTCTTGGAGCACCTACAGGATCCTGAGCCAATACCTGGAAGAGTGACCTCAACATTCACGCTTCATATTCACTTTAGAGGTCAAAGGTTTAGGTCTAGAGCTGTGCCGTGTGCATGTGAGCCTGATATATGTGAAGGTTAGTCAATGTCACATGTTGAATTGCTGGGTTTCAATCAGCTGATAAAAGTCTTTGAATCTCTGACATTATCTCCTCCAAATGGTGATAAAACACTGACCACCATGTGCTGTCAGCCAGCAAGAATTCTATAGGTTGCTATCAATAGACATCACTTCCGGTAATGGCTGCGCTTTTAATGGCTTGTAGAATCCTGGAGGTTGCTTTGATCTTTTGTTTTCTGGTTTCATGTCGTAGAAATAGTCAAATACAATTGTTGAGGACTTATTTTGACATGTTTTGACTTAACATCTGCTATTTGCCCCTCAGTCAACTGCTTGTTTGCCCCCCAGTTAACTCCAAAAAGTCATGTGATTGATAGTAAGCAATTGCTGGGTTTCACTCAGCTGATAAAAGTCCTTGCATCTCATTATCTGCTTTAAATGGTGGTCAAACACTGACCAGCGTGTGCTGTCAACCAGAAAGAATTCTATTGCTAGGTTTCAATCAACTGATTAAAGTCCTTGCATCTCATTATCTGCTCCAAATGGTGATCAAACACTGACCACCATGTGCTGTCAACCAGAAAGAATTCTATTGAAAACTTGGGATTCAGCTGATGAACATTTCACATGAGACAGGAAATGACATCAAGTGAAACCCAGCAATAATGATTGCATGGCATCACAGGTTGCATGGCAGTATTGCACTCACCTCTGGGTCTTGGGTTGGATTCCCAGACTCCACATCACATGTTAGCAGAGTATGTTAAGTCTCTCTCTTGGTTTGAAGGTTGTTCTCCAGTTTTCCTCCCTCTGTAAAACCTAACACCAGGCTCAAGAGGGGGCCACACATAAGAATAGGCCTTTCTCATAAATGTCCGCCAAACGCGGTTGGGACTAGGGACAATAGAATGGAAGTGAGGTCAGAACAATTTTTTGTGTCAAAGTCATTCATCTCATCAATTGAAGTTCTTTTAAGTGTCTCTTGAAGTGCGGGTGAATGACTTTGACACAAATTTAAGGTCTTTCTGACCTCGTTTCCATGCAATTGTCCCTAGTCCCAACCAAGTTTGGCGGCCATTTATGAGAAAGGTGTATAGGAATAACACAGCACTTTTACAATTAACAGTACTTTTGCAATATAGGGATAACAAGGGAGGTGCCCTTTTTTGTGCAACAATGGAAAGGGGGGTCAGATTTCTTGTATGGGTTGCCAAATGAATCCCACTACCCCCACTCTCCTGCAATAAAAAGAGTGTTGAGCTGAAACTAACGTCCTTACCAATTTCACTTTGTGTGTTCAATAAATTTAACATAACAAATCATTTTACGATGGTATGGTACCTAGGGTCATGTGACCTGTTTGCTTAGTACATTGAGTCCATATGTAGAAATGCATATACACCTAATTGAAAAAACGTTGTCGGGTTCAAAAAAGGTCATATTATCAAAGCTAAGACCAAAGGGGAGCATGGGAAGACAAACAATTATGCTAATTTCATGTGTATTGCAGTTTTCCCTTCCTGTGCACATTTTATGTATCATGGCTTTGGCATGTTCTTAATCTAGGTCGACTGACTTTGCTCTACTGTGCATTTTTACATGTCTATATGCAAATATAATATACATTTTGGAGGAACCCAAAATCCTTTTTTTGATGATATGACCTTCTCGAACCCGACTACGTTTTTTCAATTAGGTGTATCAAGAACCTCCCATGATTTTTTGTCACAGGTTTCCTTCTTGAGCTGCAAAAGGACCAATTACCCAACAAAATGGCTGACACTGCTACACTACTGTCCATGTCTGACACCATCCATATGGTACTCATCAAGACAGACCCTGCCGGAGACACAACACTGGTTGGTTCTCATTATCTACACTGGAGGAATGTTCTGTTCTCTTCATCAGGCAGACTTTCCTTTCCTCTAGAACTCAATGGTGTTGGAACAGAGTCAAAAGTCCCTGTGGGCATCCTAGACATCAAGTTTGAAATGATTCCTAGACTTGCTCAGGTTAGTGTTAACAGCTTAAAAAACARCCAGTCATTAGACAATGTCTAACCAGAATTGGAACTATTTCAGTCAAATCTGTGCCTTGCTGATCATTCTGACCAGTAACATTAAGTCATGCAGAAATAATGTATGACCAAGCAAAAAAAAAAGGTTCGTAAACATCTAGAGGGTAACACCTAGTGTTACCCTCCTTAATTGTAAATAACAT